ATATATATATATATATGTATATATATATATATATATATATATAGATAGTGTGTGTGTGTGTGTGTGTGTGTGTGTGTGTGTGTGTGTGTGTATATATATATATATATATTTTTTATATATATATATATATATATATATATATATATATTATATATATAAATATATATATATATATATATATATATATTTTTATATTTTTATATATATATATATATATATATATATATATATATATATATATATATATATATATATATATATATATATATATATATATATATATATATATATATTTGGTTTGTAGGGCTGCAATATATACTTACCGGCCACTTTATTAGGTACACCTGTCCAGCTGCTAGTTAATGCAAATTTCTTATCCAATCACATGGCAGCAACTAAATGCATTTAGGCATGTAGACATGGTCAAAATGATCTACTGCTGTTCAAACTGAGCATCAGAAGATGATTTAAGTGACTTTGAACGTAGCATGGTTGTTGGTACCAGACAGGCTGGTCTGAGTATTTCAGAAACTGCTAATCTACTGGGATTTTCACGCACAACCATCACTAGGGTTTACAGAGAATGGTCTGAAAGAGAAAATATCTCTTATAATAATAATTGCTACAATTTCATCACCATCGTTCTTATAATTAATAATAATTATTATATAATATTTATAATAATAATAATTGCTACAATTTCATCATCATTGATCTTAATAATAATAATAATAACAATAATAATTGTACAATTTCATCATCATTGTTCATAATAATAATTGCTACAATTTTATCATAATTGTTCTTTGTTCTTAATAATAATAATAATAATTATAATAATAATAATTGCTACAATTTCATCATCATAGTTCTTAATAATAATAATAATAATAATAATAATAATAATAATAATTGCTACAATTTTATCATAATAGTTCTTAATAATAATAATAATAACAATAATAATAATTGCTACAATTTCATCATCATTGTTCTTATTAATAATAATAATAATAATAATAATTGCTACAATTTCATCATCATTGTTCTTAATAATAATAATTATAATAATAATGCTACAATTTCATCATCATTGTTCTTAATAATAATAATAATAATAATTATAATAATAATAATTGCTACAATTTCATAATCATTGTTCTTAATAATAATAATAATAATTGCTACAATTTCGTCATCATTGTTCTTAATAATAATAATTATAATAATAATAATAATAATAATAATAATAATAATTGCTACAATTTCATCATCATTGTTCTTAATAATAATAATAATTGCTACAATTTCATCATCGTTCTTAAAAATAATAATTATATAATAATAATTGTAATATTGTGAACCTAATATTACAAATTTAATTATAGTAACAAGTTTTTGCTACTACTACGACTACTACAACTGAATAGAAAATTTAATTTTAGTAATTTTAATAAAAATTTTACAATAATGCTGAAATATTGATGTAATATTTCACTGTAAGAAATAGTAGAACATTGTATTTAGTTTTTTACTTTGTCTTTTTCAGTTTTTTATTTAAAAACTACAGAAGATGAATGCTGCAGTGCTTAACATGCATATATTTACTGAAACGCACTGCAAAATTTGCCAATTTATACTAATATTTGGTTTAAATTGATTCATGCAGTATGATGAATCAATCTAAATGATGCTTGTCCTCGCAGGGGTTTTACCGACCAGCTGCGCAAAATCTCGAAGGATGCTGGGATGCCGATTCAGGGTCAGCCGTGTTTCTGTAAGTACGCTCAGGGGGCCGACAGCGTGGAGCCCATGTTCAGACACCTGAAGAACACTTACTCTGGACTGCAGCTCATCATCGTCATCCTGCCTGGAAAAACCCCCGTCTACGGTAAGAGCCAGTCTCGCCTCCCTGGACTTAACCTTCTGCTGGAAATAGAAAAAGTTTTTGCTGCGATTACATGCACTAAGATATATACGGTTCTATCATGATATTGATCTAAGCTGTAAAATAAGATGCCTTTAATGGGTATAGTTAACTAAAATAATTCTAGTGTATTGATTTGTTTTCTATATATATGTTTGGCGTAAATAAAAATGTCAATTTAATTCCAAAAGGATGATAACGTATAATAGGTAAAACTTAACTTTAGTCTCATAAGTTAACATTAGTTAATGCATTAAAATCAACACTGAGAATTAAAAAAAATTTATTTAACGCAAATAAAAAAACAATGTAGGGATGGTATACAGTTTGACCCAAAGAATGACCAGTCTATCAGATGAACAAGAGCCGGAGTCAGAGATTTAAATAAATAAATGAAGTTTGCTGAAGATAGTTTCAGTTTTGTCAGCAGAAGCTAGCTTCAACACTCGCAATGAGTTCCTAGGCCGCTCTGACTTACAGTACAACAATGCAGCAATTATACGTACATATATTTACATATACTTACATAATTACACAAGTCCAGAAAAGGTGGGATCCAGGTAAACGGTTCTCATTGGTTACAGCAAAAATAGACAATTTTGAATGCGTGCGTCAATGAAGTATTGTATCTAGCTCCAGATATGGATGGCCTCAATGTGTGCCTCAAGAAAGAATTGTATCTAACTCCAGATATGGGTAGCGACATGGTTCCTGGGGGTTAGGTCGACCCTAAGTTATTAGGAGCTTACATTTACATTCACATTTAGTCATTTAGCAAACGCTTTTATCCAAAGCGACTTAACAATGAGGACAAGTAAGCAATTTACACAGCTATAAGAGCAACAATGAATAAGTGCTGTAGGCAAGTTTCAGGTATGCAAAGAAAGTGTAAGAAGCAAAACAGTAGTCATTTTTTTTTTTAATTAATGTAGTTAGTAGAGGGGTCAGAGAGAGAATTGCAGATTAGGAAGGGAAGTGGAGACTAAGTAGTTGAGTTTTAAGTCGTTTTTTGAAGACAGTGAGTGACTCTGCCGTTCTGATGCAGTTAGGGAGTTCATTCCACCAACTGGGCAGATTGAATGCGAGAGTTCGGGAAAGTGATTTCTTCCCTCTTTGGGATGGAACCATGAGGCGACGTTCATTCACAAAACGCAAGTGTCTGGAGGGCACATAGATCTGCAGAAAAGGAGGAGCAAGGCCAGAAGTCGCTTTGTAAGCAAACATCAGAGCTTTGAATTTGATGCGAGCAGCAACTGGCAGCCAGTGCAAACGGATGAGCAGCGGAGTGACATGTGCTCTTTTAGGTTCATTAAAGACCACTCGTGCTGCTGCGTTCTGAAGCATCTGGAGAGGTTTGATCTTCAGATCAGAGAGCTGATCTCTGTAAAGTCAAATCACGGATTTGGACGTCAAATCAATCAATGCATGGAGGAATTAGGCAGAACTAACGAAACTGAAAGTGTTTGGCGGAAGCAATTGGCTGACGGAGCTTGCCGAGGAGGTATGGAACTTACCGAGGAGACACTAGAAGTGCCGAGGAGATACGGGAAGTGCCGAGTGAATGCGGAAAGAAGAAAAAAAACTCGCATGGCAAGTGCATGCATGCAGACGCGCTGTGAAAGCTGAAGAACGCGATCGCTGCATTAATAAACTTTCACGATTGCATGCATAAAGTTTTAAGCTGCAGTAAGGAAGGGAAGGCACATCAGCACTTGGTCATTTCAGGGACACTGATGGTACGAGAAATGACTGTTTCTAATTACAAGGACTGCCACATGCATTGCCTTATTCATAATATATGTGCAATATAAAAGACAGCTGCTATTTTGTTGCACTGTAGTTCATTATTTTGTGCATTATAGTACTTTGTGCACAATATTAAGTTAATCATACTGTTCATTTATGTAAATAGTTTATGTAAAGTGAAATGCTTGCATTAATATTAAGAAGTATTACTTAAATATGCAAATTAATAATGCTGAGACAAAGTTTGTGAAGGAACTGTCTTTATTTACATTACATTGTGTTTAAGTCAGTATTGCGAATAATGTATATTTTATATATTTTGTTCCTTTTCTAAGGTTATCAACCTATTGCTATCGCTGCTACTGGTATCGCTACTATTGCTATCGCTACTACTGTTCAAGCGCTACAGTATTGTATTATTGGGCAAATGGAAAGTTAAAATACAAAAGCTGAAAAAAACTTGAAGTTGTTCCCTGTGTCCCCTGTTATTGGCTGAAGCTCTTTCGAGTTAGAAGCAGATGCTGGTGTGTGAAACCCATAAGAACTCGACAATCTCCGACCTGTGAAAAGCTAAACCAGGGACACAATAGACGCAAGCGACCATCTGTGTTGAAAACTCAAGTTTGTGTCCTGTACGTTCAGCCGTGTTATCAAACTGGTTCAAGACCAGAGTCTATCTCCATACAAAAGGAAATACTTTAATAAGAATTACAATCAAAACAGATCAATCAAACAGCTAAATTACTGTAGACAATATCAGGAGAACTAGAACAGGTGTTTTTCTTCTCCGTTGCATCGGTACTCCGTTCAGAGGGAGAGAGAGATCTCCATGACCTATGACCTGGTTTTTGTGTGTCTCCTGAAAACAAAGTTAAAATAGACAGGCAAAAAAAAAAAGCAAGTACTCTGAAAATTCTTACATTAAGCAGTGTTTACTTATTCATTAGTTAAAACACTTCAAAGTTAAATACTCATTTAAATAATCAAATTACCATATTTAATAAAGATAATGAGAAACAAGACATGCGACAAGGATATACGTTGATCCATAATGAGACCGATTGGAAGGCAGAAATCCGAATCCTTCAACAACTAAGTTTTATTATTGTATTGAGCTATTTAACTTTTTTTCTTTGGATTTTAATGAAGTATTACGAAGTAACTATGATATTAACATTTTAACAAACTTTACTTAATAAACAAAAATCCTATAAATAATCACATGTATTTAGGCCAAAATAAAGGGTTAGTTTACCCCAAATAAACAAATCTGTCATTATCTCCTCACATTTTGCTTTTCAAGCCTTTCTTCTGTCATGTAAATATTTTAATGTTAAAAAAATCCTGTCAAGTTGTCTTTAAGATCATTAAGATGAACGACCACTAATATAATAATCTTAATATTCTTTAAAAAAACAATGCAAAAGCCTCAATAATAAATAATTATCCACAGTGTTTTGAAGTGCCCATGATATCATTATGCATGCTCATTATCATGATATATTGAGTTCTTTAATATCAGCATCTGTCGGGTCTTCACACTGATAATAAATGTGTGTGTTTGCTCTGTGCAGCGGAAGTGAAGCGTGTTGGAGACACTCTTCTAGGAATGGCCACTCAGTGTGTGCAGGTGAAGAACGTGGTAAAAACCTCCCCGCAGACGCTCTCCAACCTCTGCCTGAAAATCAACGTCAAACTCGGCGGCATCAACAACATCCTCGTGCCGCATCAACGGTTTGTATTGGTTTTTCTGGCCTGTTTTTGATGGATAAAGTCAGTTTTACATTTCATTCAGTCATGACTTCACTTACTGATGAGACCAAACTGATTTGGAAAGACAAAAGACAGTGAAATACAGTGTTATGGTTTGTTTCCAGTGGTGCTAAAAACTCATTTATTCTTCCGTGTCTGCTGTGTTAGCGATAATACTTTCAAAACAGTAGTAGGCAGTGGAGTTTTTGTATTTTCTGTTCCTACACCATTGTTTTGAGTTCATCATTTATATGCATGTGATGCTATTGTAGAAGTAGCTTAAACCCACTCATTTAGGGAAAAAATATAATGGAACTGGTGAATGTCTAACAATTTTAACCAGTTAAACTCTGCTGCTATTTTGGGATTTCCGCCTGGATTTTGCCTACCCAAATTCAAAAGCTTCCCAAATCCACATGCAGAGGTGTAAATGCAAAAATTTCGTATCATTTTAAAGAAAACCCTTTGAATTTTCATAAAACACTATTGAAAGTGTTTAAAATAACTGCATATGTTGTCTGTGTTATAATAAACACCTAAAAAAGAGGCGCCTTTTGTATTTCTTTTATAAACTCAAATTTGAAAGTATCTTTTAGGTTCTGTGTGGTCTAGCGTGCTGTAATTAATATTGGTGGTTCCTGCACATGTCTGTAATCATAGGAAAAAAGAAAAATGTCTCCACCATAATCTATGCAAAAGTTATTGCATTCCAACTAATGAGAGGTGCTGTACAAGCCACAGGGATCGATCATTGTTTTCATATTTCACTATTCTTTTGTTTGATCAAACATAATTCGCTGTGTTTGGACCACATCAGACATATAAAAGGATTACTTATGCACATCACCTCAAAAACTGAGGAGAAATGGCCCTGAAATGCACAGCATAGGGTAAGAGATGACAGCTGTCTGAGCTATCTGGGGCTGCTTATTGATCATAAATGTATTGTTTTCACTTCTGCCCATGGAAACACCACGATTCATTAGGCAACAGTTTGATATGTGAATATAATTCAGTAACAGGAGTGCTAGAAGCACATAAGCACCGGCAAGAGCTTTCACTTGAGCTATAACTTGTACATGTGTCATATGAAAAATATGAAAATGAACTAATGTAAAATACCCAGCTCGGGTATTCAAAATACTGTGTATTTAAGTGTAAATATCTTTTATACAGTAGAGTAAAAACCAAAGTGATGAATATGTGCATAAAATATAGATTCTACACTTTCAAACGACACCACTTAAGGGGGTCTGGTGCAATGCTAGCCCTTTAAATCTTAAAGTGAAAGTCGATGATGTCACAGACCCGGTACCGGGTCTGCGGAGTTTAATCAATCACGTACATTTATGTTTACTCGTCTATATATACATCACATAGCTACAGTGATGGTACTTTATGGTGTCTTTAGACGGTGTTAAACGTGCACTGCTGAACTCTTCACTAATGTAGTGTGTTTTGTGTTGTTTCTCAGGCCATCAGTTTTCCAGCAGCCAGTCATCTTTCTGGGGGCGGACGTTACACATCCCCCTGCAGGAGATGGGAAGAAACCGTCCATCGCAGCGGTCAGTATAGGCCTAGGTCATAACACTCACTGGCCATTTTATTAGGTACACCTGTTTAGAAGCTTATTAATGCCAATCTCTAATTAGCAAAAAGCATGACGGCAGTTCAATACATGTAGGCATGGAAATAGGCCTGTTCACACCTGACCGCTTCATACTTTGGTCTGATCGGATTGCTCTCTGATTTCTGCAAACAGTTCAATCATTAAATGTGCTTTTCTTCTATAGGTGGTGGGCAGTATGGACGCTCATCCCAGCAGGTATTGTGCCACTGTGCGCGTCCAGAGACCCCGTCAGGAGGTCATTCAGGATTTGTCCTCAATGGTGCGAGAGTTACTCATCCAGTTCTACAAATCCACTCGCTACAAGCCCACCAGAATCATCTTCTACAGGGACGGTGTTTCTGAGGGCCAGTTCAGACAGGTCTGTGTTCATCCGTCCTGCTCTATCATGACTTCAATGATGTCCGGTTCATTTATAAGTGATGTTTGTCTCTCTCAGGTGTTGTATTATGAGCTGCTGGCCATTCGAGAGGCCTGTATCAGTCTGGAGAAGGAGTACCAGCCCGGCATCACGTATATAGTGGTGCAGAAACGCCACCACACACGCCTCTTCTGTGCCGACCGCAACGAGAGGGTGAGCATTCGTTTCGATTTTTAGCTTTCGTTTTTAGTTTCAGTATTAAATTAATTTAGGCTTTGCCAAAATGACAAAAGCACATACAATTACCACTGTCTATCAGAATAAGGGTTGGGCGAATAATTTTGACTAATTTGGCATCGTACGATGTCTAATGTGAAATACCGCGTTGTCATAGGTGGTGGTAAATTAATTATTTCTGAATAATTAATTAATTCATAATGAATGAAAGAATGTTGCCTACCGTTTCAACTACCTGACCCACATGGTCTTTGTTTTATCCCTAACCAAATTATAAATAAATAAAGATAAGTTACACACAAATTACCACCTGTCAATTAGGGGTGTCAAAATTAATTGTTTCTTCGGTGCACCGCGATGCAGACGCGGACAATTCGGTATCGGTTCAGTAATAATCATAACCGGTTATTATGTACTGACGTCATTTATCAACTATGCGCTCTGTCGCGAGAGAGGTGAGCGCGAGTATTTACAACACTCAGCCAACTAAGGGCCAGTCCGTGGCATAGGCACCATAGGCAAATGCTAAGGGCGCTGTACATCCAGGAGGGCGCCAGAAAGGTGCGTGGTTCAGTTGGTTTTGTTTTTGATATTCTTAACACACATTCAGTTACAGACGGCAATAACTCAAAAACCTCTTACCCTAAAAAAGATCTAAAGTGTGTTTCCAACAAAAAGACAAAGCTGGTTATGTTTCACAGCCGTCTTTCTTTTTTTTTTCGCTCCACACTATGAGCACTGCTCCGTTTAAGCCCTCGCAATATGTGTATAGCCGGGATAGCTCGCGCTGAGAGGAGCTCTCAGCAAGGGACCGTCGGCAAAGTGCTTATTTTTTTCGGGTTTTTTCTTTAGTAATAACTAGACTAAATTGGGAAAGCTAAATTGTCCGTAGTGTATATGCGTGAATGAGTGTGGGTGTTTCTCAGTGATGGGTTGCAGCTAGAAGGGCATCTGCTGCGTAAAACATGTGCTTGATAAGTTGGCGGTTCTTTCCACTGTGGTGACCCCTGATTAAATAAAGGGACTAAGCCGAAAAGAAAATGAATGAATTTCAGGCCTTAAAGTCTTAAATTCACTTAATTATTTTTGGTTGTAGGTCTTAAATCGTTTTAAACGGGTATTAATTTTCCTTTGTCCTGGTAAAGCAAACGCAATCGGTACGGCCTAGCTGAGATTTATGGTCATACAGAAGGTTTATTAAAAACTCTAGAATAACCATCTTCTTGCTTAAAGAGGAGCCTATAAGACAACGCTAAAGGCTTTATGACTGTTTTTGCAAATGGCTGTTTATTTATCTTTTTTTATATATATATATTTATTATCTGTTCTTTGTCCTGTCTCTGTAATTCTGTTGCTCTGTAGAAGCTCTGTCATGAAAACAAATTCCTCGTGTGTGTGCGAACATACCTGGCAATAAAGCGCATTCTGATTCTGATTCTTGTGTGTACAGGTGGGTCGCAGTGGAAACATTCCTGCTGGTACGACGGTGGATACAGATATCACACACCCTTATGAGTTTGACTTTTACCTCTGCAGTCATGCTGGAATACAGGTACAGATCAACACCAGCTCACATGCATTTGAGTCTGCCCTCCAGTCTGGGTTAAATGGCTTCTCGTTTGCTCGATAAACGATTTTGCATGGAGATTTGGATTTAGAAGCACAAAGAACTGTTATGTAATCCCATATAAGCATGCATTTGGAGTTTAAAAGGGTGAATGCCACAGAATTACCGTTAAAATAAAACATTACAGGATATCTAGACACAGAGGCAAAATCAAAAAAGGTGCTCAAATGTCGTGAAAATGTCAAGAACAATAACAAAAAATGGAATATGTTGATATTTGTGTGTTTAATCTGTTATGTGGTTCTTAAATGAGTGTAAAAAAATACTTTAAATTTAAATGTTTTTTGCAAACAAGCTATTTCTTATTAATTAATAGGAATTTTGGTTGTACTGAGTGATATGATAGTCAATTAAAAAGCAAAATTATTTGTCTGCTCTCCAGTGCAAATATAAATAATAGTACATATACATATATAATTTTGTGGTAAAAAAAAAAGTTTGATTTATTTCTGTCATATATGCAATTATATAAGATATCAAGTTTTCTTTATAAAGAAAATAAATAAAGATATATCTGGCAATGTGAACTGAAAAATTAGCTTGTTTTCAGTTCGAATTCATTAAAAAAAAAGTTTAATTATAGTTTCAAACATTTAACTACATGTGTTTTGCAAAGTGTATCCAAAAGTTCACAGTATCTTGAATTATTTTTGTTATTATTTTTAAATACTTTTTTAAAAAACTATTTCACATTTTAAAAAACAAAGCCCAAACTCGCCCCACGCCAGCAAATAATAAGTAAACAAATAAAAAAAAATAAATACACATGAAAACGTACACCCACGACTGTACAGATACTTAAATATATACCTCCATGAATAATTTATACCTGCAAATATTTACAAGAGTCCACTCAAACATCTGCATGTATACAGTTGAAGTCAGAATTATTAGCCCCCTTTGAATTTTATTTTATTTTTTTTATGTTTCCCAAATTATGTTTAACAGAGCAAGGAAATCTTCACAGTATGTCTGATAATGTTTTTTCTTCTGAAGAAGGTCTTATTAGTTTTATTTCGGCTTGAATAAAAGCAGTTTTAAATTTTTTAAACACCATTTTAAGGTCAAAATTATTAGCCCCTTTAAGCTATATTTTTTCACGACTGTCTACAGAACAAACCATCATTATACAATGACTTGCCTAATTACCCGAACATGCCTAGTTAACCTAATTAACCTAGTTAAGCCTTTAAATGTCACTTTAAGCTGTGTAGGAGTGTCTTGAAAAATATCTAGTCAAATATTATTTACAGTCATGACAGAGAAAATAAATCAGTTATTAGAAATGAGTTACTAAAATCATTATGTTTAGAAATGTGTTGAAAAAATCTGCTCTCTGTTAAACAGAAATTGGGGAAAAAAAATAAACAAGCGGTCTAATAATTCAGGGGGGCTAATAATTATGACTTCAACTGTACATTACACATACAGCATATATACATTTAAAGTCAGAATTATTAGCCCCCCTTTGAATTTTCTTTTATTTAAACATTTCCCATATGATGTCTGATAATATCGGTATCGGGCACGGTATGTTTGATAATATTTTTTCATGCTTTCGGTCAAACGTGTTTTTGAGTTTGTCTCCTGTTGCTGGTCTGTCTCAGGGCACCAGCAGGCCCTCCCACTATCATGTCCTGTGGGACGACAACTGCTTCACTGCTGATGAGTTCCAGCTGCTCACCTACCAGCTGTGCCACACGTATGTGCGCTGCACCCGCTCCGTCTCCATCCCCGCGCCAGCCTACTACGCCCACCTGGTGGCCTTCCGCGCCCGATACCACTTGGTGGACAAAGAACACGACAGGTGGGCTTGCACTGATCTTAGAACAGCACTATTAATGGTGGTATACTGCAGGTGAACCGTATAATACATCATACCACAAGTGTTGTAGAAAAGATACTGTCATTGAAGTGTGATGAGTGAACGTGAGTGACCTTTTAAACTCCCCATACAATCACGGGCCTCAGAAAGACATGCACATGTTAATCCAAACATTGCATATTTTGGGATTTGTCAATTGCCAATAATCACATTGAGATATCGATGCTGAAAAGAGATATTGTGCAGCCCTAATGTTGAGTTGTGCTCTGGTTTCTCTAATGCAGCCTCTTTGTCGTTTTTAGTGCCGAGGGAAGCCATGTCTCCGGACAGAGCAACGGCCGGGACCCCCAAGCGCTGGCCAAAGCTGTGCAGATTCACCACGACACCCTGAGGACCATGTACTTTGCCTAAGCCAGCTCACGTTCATCTAGTCATGCACACAAACCCGACAACCACACACACACACACATGCTGACAAACACACACACCTCCCAGAATCCTGTGCGTCCTGAAGGGTCGATCTCTGTGGCGATTGAAGCACGGCCCACCCGACACTGTGCAGCAGGACGAGGAAGGCCTTTAAGGAAGCCGACCTGCTTTAAAACCACACATGGACCTCGGCGCTATTATGCAATATTAAACCAGCCAACTGAGGCCGTTCTGTCAGATCCCCCTCCAAAACCAAAAGGGAAGTCCGTCTGTATATCCCTCCCGCTCCTTTTCCTGTCTATAGACGTCACGTTTTAATCACTTCCCCCCCCCTGCCTGTCACGCCTTGTACCTCAACGTCTTTTCTAACAGTATGGTTGAGTCGAACATTGAGTATGTTTACAGGGACACCAATACTTTAATATGATGTTAATACAATTAACATGATACTCTGATTAATAGTCTAGCATGTAAACAGCGATTTTGATTACCTTAATCCGATTAAAGTCATAATTGAACTTAACAGAAATGGAATTAAGACATTAGTGGCACTATTGAAGTAAACAAGGCAGTCAAACTATTACCGTCATGTAGGACTTTTCACCATATTTTGCCACAAGATCCACACACACAGCTGTCAGTAAAGACATACACATCTTGCGAAATGTTGAAGTTTTTTTTTTTCCCATTCAGCATGCATTATTATATTCCATTAAAACAACACACTTTCACCAGTCCTTACTCCATTCCTCCCATCCAATACCCCAGCTTGTTTCGGGGGCATGAATGAAAAGTTCATGAGTGAAAGTGAAACTACCGAACTGCAGTTAAAGTTGAAAAATTTAAGATGAAACACAAAATTACATAAAACTGCAGGAAATGTGGATAGCCTGGTTATGAAACATTCAAAAAGCAATTCACATAAACACCTTTATTATATTATATTATTTTACATTATATTATATTATATTATATTATATTATATTATATTATATTATATTATATTATATTATATTAT